AAATTTTGGTAACTTAGACTCAATAAGCATGCATCTAGCAACATCAAACAAAGTTCGCCAATTTCGTTCGGCATTTCCATTTTGATGAGGAGAATATGGTGAGGTATGCTCATGTTTACTAGAGTACTTTCTTAGAAGTTCTTGAAATTCCCTTGAAATATATTCACCTCCGTTATCACTTCTAATTTGACTTTTGAATAAGAAAGTCTTTACATTACCATATGGAGAAATGTCTATTAAGAACTTTTCTGTAGCATGTACAGCGTCTGACTTATGCATTAAAAAATAAGTGAATAAACATCCTGAATAATCATCAGTGAAACTAATAACATATCTATATCCGTCTTTTGCAATTGGCACAATTGATCCAGCTAAATCTGTATATACTAACTCAAACGGATATGTTGCTCTAACATTAAGTTCTTTGTTACGTATATTTGTTTGTTTTCCTAAAGTACATGTTTCACAAAAATTAATATTACTATTGGTAATCTTCATACCTTCTACAACTTTTTCTAATTTCTTGAAATCAGCGAAGTCATAAACAAGAATTTTATTTTACTTGGAGCAATAATATTCAAGCTTAATCATTTAAAACAAAGTAATCTAAAAGTCATCAGCAGTTGTGCATCTTGATCTTAAATGTCTGTAAATTCGTACAAGCATTTCAGCTTTTTCTCTTCCTAAACGATTTCTAATTTTGCTCCAAATAATCCCAAAAGATGAGAAAAGTCTTTCTATGGATCCAGTACTAGCTGGACAAGTGTGCAACTGCCGTCAAAATTTTGCAAAATTTGCAGGCAATTTGGAAGACTTAGATTCTTTCATTTCTATAATTATCCACCAATTTGTTGCTGATGTTGTGCTTTTAACAAAGTTAAGCTTTTAACGTTGAATGGTATATTTGCTGAAAAGAAAAATCTTGCAACTTGTAAATCCAGTTCATCCTTCTGATTACTTGTTGTTGTAGTAACAAATTTAGAAACAGATGTTTGCTGTTGCATCGTCATTGCAGTTGACTGAACAATTGACGAATAAAAACAATCACTAATAAAGCTTAAACCATCTTGCTCATTATCATCAGACAGGCTAGACTTATTTGATGCTGCAGATGTAGATGGCTTTAACTCTAAAACTGATATATCACTTAACACTTCAGCGGAATTATTATTGCTTCGTTTATTCTTTCTTCTGCATTTATCCAAATGGATCTCTTGAAACTCTTTCTATTTTTTTAATTATGCTCACTTTGCAATAATTACATTTTACTTTAATATTACTCTATTTGGTTGATCACTTAATATGGTCACTTCACTCCACTCACTAGCCTTATTTCTTCCCCCTGAATGATACTTTGGCATGTTGAAGACGTATAATCTACTTATATTTTAAATTTAACTAAAAAGATAACTCCTTTTAAAAATAGATTTATATTATAAAAAAATGCAATCTGATTATTAATAAAGCTTTTGTATGAGAAAATATACCTGTAAAAAATGAAAAATAGCTTTATTATATTATAAACTATAAATTAATCAAACTTTGATTACTAAAGATTTATACCAAACTTTAGCAAAAACCCATCAAAAACCCACCCAAAAACCCACCCAAAAACCCAGCTGGGTTGGGTTTTTGGTCAAAAACCCGGGTTTTTGCCAACCCTGATTTTATGCCATGTATCAATGGATCTTTTCGAACTTTACTTGTTGAAGCTTTGAGTAAATAATATAATCTACCTTTCTGGTATATTGGGAATATTGTTCCATTTTTAGCAATTAATTCTCCATTATTACCTTTGAAGTTTACAATTGCACCTTTTTGTGCAGCAGCTTGAACAGAAAATATACAATTAGGGTAACTTGGCATAAGTAAAGTATTTTCTAGTTTAACTTGAACTAGATTTCCATCCTCAGTAGTTAATTCTACTAAAATTGTTCCTCGATCTAAATGCTGTTGCTGATATTTCTGCTCTTACTATATAGTCGGTAATTGACTCCGAATTCATTTTTTGAAGAGTTGTAAGTTGATTATATAATGTTATAATTCTTGGTTTGCTACATTCAGCATAGTGTTGTTTCCATCCAGCATAATGTTGTATCCAGCATGCATCAGTGTTAAGTATTGAGAATGCTTCTCTTCCTTTATCTCGAACATCTCTCATTACCAATGAAAGCGATCGTTCGTCTAAGTATTGAATTAATTCTGCAAACGCTAATTCGTTTTCATCGTCATTGACTTCTTGAGTTCCAGTAATAACATCTTTTAAACCTTTAAGTTTTATGTATCCTAATATTTTTAATTCCCATAATTCAAACTTTCTTTCGTCTCCATCGAATCATAAACTTTGATATTGGTTTCTGGGCACATAACCTGTTAAGTTGGAGTTCGTCATGGCGGAGGAATAAAGGAGGAATAAAAAACTAACTCAATATATAATCTATCTATATATATTCATAATACTAAGCGGCCATATTGACACGCGCGCTTTTTACAACATACCTGAACTATTTGATGGTCCGCAAATAAACAACAAATACAACGACCGTGTAGATGACATCACTCTTACAATTTGAACTCTCATCATCATGTCCGCATAACTCAGATGGCTAAAGTGTAGTGATGCGGCCGAAATGTTGAACAATTCGTATAGTCTAACTTCGATATCTCTATGAAAATTGAAGTTTTGAAAAATGTTTCATTAATGCAGTGACGGGTTCAGAAACTTTTGGTGGTTGTGGTGGAGGAAAGTGGGTGGTGGTGTGGGTGGTGGTAGTGGCAAGGGTGTTGAAAAAAATTAGTTTTTTACAAAGGGTGTTGAAATATATTAGTAAAAAAAGGTCCTCCATTTCTAAGATATTTCAAAACTTTCAGATTCTGATGGGAGGGTGGGGGATGGGGTATGCATCCCTAGATCCGTTTCTACATTAATGGGTGACCATAATTAAACAACAAAAAGTCCTTCAAGAAAAACAAGCCTTTAGCCGAGATAAGTAATAGCACTAAAATTTGTTTTTAAATTACAAAAATTAACTTTAAAAATGATGTTCTTTTTAATTTCAAGTATTATATTTTGTTCCCGATAGTATATTGTTAGTGTTTTTAAAATTAAAGAAATCAATTTTTTACAAAAAATATATATATTTGTTGGGCTTTTCATGTTAAGATATATATTAAAAAAATAAACCTAGTTGTGAAAAAAAAATTTAATTTAGGAGAATAATTCAGCTTAAAAATCAAAATTTGAAAATATCCCCGAACATACTCATTTTTACAATGTCCCCGAAAATGTCACACTAGCGTTATCTATCTATCTATCTATCTATCTATCTATCTATCTATCTATCTATCTATCTATCTATATATATATATATATATATATATATATATATATATATATATATATATATATATATATATATATATATATATATATATATATATATATATATATATATATATATATATATATATATATATATATATATATATATATATATATATACACATATATACAAATACTGAGTATCACGCGGTAAATACATCAATATCAGATGTTTTTATAGATATCGAGATATCTACCATACAGTTTAACATAGAAATCTACCGTGTTATCATATTCCAAGTCAGTATTGATCTGCGAAATGTAAAAATATTGTTTAAGACGTGCGGCTATATCAGTTAAAACGCTTTTAAATTGACTGATAGTTAACACTTTCTTGTTTTTAGTGATGAAAAATTCTGTTTGCAGCCAATCCACAGAAATATAAAATTTTTAAATAACTTTTACCGTAATTTTTTAAAATAAATCGCTCACTAAACAATTCAAATGTAAAAAAGAATCTATAAATATTAATCTACAGTTTTGTTCTTTTATAATCTAAATAAATAAAGAAACTCTAAAATTTATTTAAAACTCGAACAACAATTATTATTTTAAACAGGGCTGACGACACCGGGGCGGCTAGAGGGGTACGTGCCCTTCCCCACTTTTTTTCTAAAGGACCTTTTTTTTTTTTTAAGAAAAATGTTGATATAGAGGACTTTTTTCATAAATTGATAATTGTACCTTCCCCCTCCCCTACTTCAAAACCCGTGTCGTCGGCCCTGTTATATACATAATTATAGACATTAGCTTATCACTTATGAATTCCGTGGGTGGTAGTAAAAGTATCGAAGTGGGTAGTAGTAACAGTATTGAAAATAGCCAAACTGAATTAATTTGAAAAAAACCGAAAGAGAATAAAACCGAAGAGAATAAAATCGAAATTGTGAAAAAGAAATATTATTGAAAATCCGAAAAGTAGAATAAGATCGAAGTTAGCAGAAAATAACTAATATTGAAATTTTTTCTTTAATTGATAGACTGCTTGCCCAAACCAAACCCTCAGTCGATATAGCTCCTTGCATGTTCTATTCCTCGCATGTTAAATAAAATTAAAATACATTGATTAGATATCATTTTTTTAAGCAGTTAACTTTCGATACTATTTAACTTTTCTTATTTTCGCTAATTACCTACATTTGTGTATTTCGAAAAAAATACTTTTCGACATTATTCAGAAAATCACAATTTCGGTCTTAAACATTAAAATGAGTTTCCGTCAGTTTTTTTACGATCCTAAGCATTTTTTCAAGGAGTTAATTTTCGATACTATTCTGCCGCTCCAAAATTGCTTTCTTATCTGCGCGTTAAAAATAATTTATTAATAAAATTAAAAGTAAACGAATTCAAAATAATGTAATTAAAACTAAATTTTCTCTAGTTGTTATTATGTGGGCTTTTTTTCTCTGCATATTTGTATTCATTTTAAAGTATTATACTAAGTTAACTTATTTTTTTATATTACTTTTATGAAAACCAATTATAAAATTAATGGTTGGTAAATAATTAAATACTTTCTTAAAAAACTATTTATGATGTTTGAATCGTGACCAAAACAGGGAAACAAACGCATGCGCAATTTAAAATATTGAAGGATAACTTGAAGCTTAAATCAAATTGTAAACAAATATTTTATATTTTATCGGAATGATATAAAATGATGGGAAGTTTATTATTATCCTGTTTTTTGTTTGCTACTTTTATTTTTAATTTTTCGAATGCCAGTTTTATTGAAGATTGTCCAAAACCGACAAGTGTTCTTAAAAATACGGTAATAAAAGCTCAGGAGTCGATTGCAAGAAATGCAACTTTGATTGATAAAATAGATGACACAACCAGTGCGTCTGAATGTTACAACTTATGTTGCAGCTATGCTACATGTAACGTTGCTTTAATTCGCTTTGAGAAAATTTATGATGATGAAAATGAAGAAGTTATTAAGAAGAGTTGTTATTTATTTGATTGTAAATCACCATCTGTTTGCACTTATAAGCAGCAAAAAGATTTTGCAGTTATAATGTTGGACAGGCCTAATAAGCAACTTTTGAATTTTGAAGTTGAACAAACGAATAAAACTCCAAAAAATGAATTAAATTCAAATGAAGAAA